TGATCTGAGCTGGCTGACACAGGGGTGGCTCACGGTGTAGGGACCTTGTTGTGGGTACTATCTTTCTCTCTCTGTTTCCCTTCCTCATGGAAAAAATAAACTTTAAAAAATATATTAGATTATAATCCAAAGTATAAAATAAATATCCAAATTAATATAAATAAATGATTGCATAGATTAATACATGAATGGTAGAGGGCCAGCCCCACGGCTTGGCGATTTGAGGGGGCCAGATTCCACATGACTGACAACACAGTTTGGATACCTGACTTACCAGCATAAAAACCATGTCAGGTGGAAACAGCAGATGGTATAATGGTTATGTCACTGAATTCCCATGTAGTTGACTGTGGTTCAAATCCCAGACCCAGTGGATTAAAACTCACACTGGGCACATGTATCTCCACGCCCAAGATCCTGAGAGAAGAGTAGAGGAGAAGGGATTGCAGTGTGGCCACACCCCACGAGAGTGATTTCTCACTTTCTGTCTATCTCTCTGTCTCTTTGGTGAGCACATGTACCCTGTAGCAAAATCTCTCTTTAAAAAAATATTTAAAAAGTCAGGAGCATGGAAATGTATTCATCAAATCCTGACAGGATAGAGAAATGGAGGAGAAGGAATAGTAGCATAACCATGCCCCATGGGGGGGGTGGGGGGTGGGTGCTTTCTCCCTTTTGTTCTCTCTCTCTCTCTCTCTCGTCTCTCTCTGTAAGAGAATACATGTGCGCTTCTGGCAAATTTTTAAAAATAATAAAATAAAATAAATGGTAGAAAGATAAACATCTAAATCAGAAGAATCTAAATCATTTCCTATATAAACACAAAATATATTTACCCAGTTTGACATACAGTAAATTTTCAAATGCAACAATCACATAAATCAAGGGAAGAATTATTCCTTTTTTTTTTGGAGAGGTTTTTTTCGCTATAGGGTACGTGCGCTCACCAGACAGACAGAGAGAGACATAGAGACAGAAAGCGAGAAATCACTCCCCAGGGCGGATGGTCATGCCACAATCCCTTCTCCTCCATTCTCCTCTCGGGATCTTGGGCACGCACGCACATGCGCCCAGCGTGCGTTTTAAGCCACCGGGTCCAGGACGCAAACCGTGGTCGACTACATGGGAGTCCAGCGACATAGCCATTACGCTAACTGCTGGTTCCTAAGAATTATTCCTTTACCAAGCAATAATTGCTGTTCTTTGGGGGAGATCCCGTCATGGTGGCAACGCCTTTCCAGGGGTTGGAGTCATCGCCAACGCACCCTGAATACATCTGCACTTGTGCCTGTCACTGCGATCCCCGAACAAGTACATTCTATGTGTAAGAAAACTTTATTTCAAAAGATCAAACGTAAAGAAAAATCTTCAACAAAATTATTGTCTTCTTTCTCTTTATCACATTTATTCACTTTAAGCAAACACCTGATTACTTCGTTATATTTTCTATTGAAGTCAAACCTGAGCATTTACATATTCCATATACAGCATTTTACTGTAAGCCTCTTTTCTTTTTCCTTTTTTCTATCATGACTATGGTCAGGGCTTTATGGACTTTCTAAACTATTACATATATATATAGGTAAGTTATGCTGTCTATACATTTCATTTCTGTACAAGAAAAGGAATATTACAAATATTTTATACAAGGGAGAATTGCGTCTGACGGTGCTGAGAAGTACTGCTCTGTATTACTTAATCCCCCCAAGTATTCTGCTCTGCAAGAGAGCTTCTTTAATAAAGGAAGGCTGGGATTAGATTGTGATGGGGATAAACTAACATGGGGCTGAGAGCTCCTGTGAGCTCCACACACATTAAATATTTAGCTGGATTAGAACCGCCACGTCAGCGTGAGCCCTGGGTCTTAGCACAGGTACTGACGAGATCACATTTCCATGCACCAGATGTCGGAGTGTCAGCTCTCAAGCAGAATTGAGACCGCTGAGCAAGATTTTTAGTTTCTCATTACGGCTGAATACTGAACCATCTTCAGAAAGGATAAACTATCATTTTATTCTTATAGGGAAATAAACATATTCATCCAAAATGAACATTTTTGTAGAGCAGTTGTTTCTAAGAACATAATTCTTCCCTCTTGGTCATCCATCTGATGCTCCAGAAAGACTGAAATAAGAGACAGTCAAATAAACAAATGCGTGATTGCACAAACACCAAAGGCTGTCAAGGCAAGGGCAAAGTCTGCTGAGGTCTCAGTCGACACGTCTCTGGGGGTACCCAGAGCCACTGAGAGCTGGCGGAGTCTGAGGTGGTTCTGCCTGGCTCCTAAGAGACAGCCAAATAAACAAATGCACAAAATCACAAATGTGATTGCACAAACACCAAAGGCTGTCAAGGCAAGGGCAAAGTCTGCTGAGGTCTCAGTCGACACGTCTCTGGGGGTACCCAGAGCCACTGAGAGCTGGCGGAGTCTGAGGTGGTTCTGCCTGGCTCCTGGTGGGAGCCTACCCCTCACGGGTCATGAATGCCCACAGGGAAGGGAAGGTGGGAGTTATTCCAAGGTAAGAAAAGGAAGTGGCCAGGTAAAGGGCCTCTTACTCCAAGGCCCCATGAAAGGCCCCATGAGCAAGGACAGGCTAGCCCTTCATCTGTCAAAATCCTCTCTCCTGGGCCCTGCAATGTGGAGGACTTACTGACTAAGTTATTCAGTAATAAACATAGTGTTTGGGGACACCTACTCTTGCCAGGGCCTGGAGACATAGGGTGATCAAAGCAGACGTGGAGCCTGCTCTCATAAAGCTCCTGATCTGGAAGAGAGCAATGCCAAAAAAAGGATGACCCTGTAAATAATATAAATTTATACCAGGACAGGAGCACTGTTCAGGCCTGAGAGGGCGAGCATCAAGAAAGGTGTTCTTGGGAAATAATGCCTGAATGCCTGACCTAAGAGCTGACATTAGGTAGGCGATACCTGGGAGAAATGAGAGGGGAGCTGTGGTGGAAAGCAACCAGGGAGTGCAGCAGCATGTGCAAAGGCCCTGTGGTGGGCAGAAATATGACTGCACCAGACCCAACTGTACCAGGCCAGTGTGAAGAAACAAGGATCATGGAAAAGAGGGCACTAGGTAAGGTAGGGCAAAGGGGTGTAGACCATGTGAGGCTCATTCAGCCAAGAGACTCTCTTAAGAGTGATGGGAAGCCATGCAGAAAGGAGATACAGCAGGGTTGGGGGGAGCATAAGCAGCTTCACATTTTGGTGCAATCACATTGGCTGCAGGTTGGTAGAACATAGCCAAATAGAAAGTGGGGTAATCAGTCAGAAAGCCACAAATCCTAGCAAGAGATTGTGTCATCTTGGAGATGAAGAGGAGTGGGCAGGCTTGGGCAATTTTTAGGAGGGGCAATCAGGAGGACGTTCAGTCTGAGGAGCAAATTCTTCCTAAACAAGTGCTATGTCTCCCCCAAATCCATGTGATGAGATTTGGTTGTGATGGATTAGGAATCTGAAAGCTTAATCTGACTTTGGTGTTGAGAGGTAAGGCCGTTGGGAGATTAGGATTAAGGTCATCAGAGTGGAGACCCCGTGATTGACTTCTGCTGGGTTTATAAGTAGAAGAAATGAGACCAGAACAGAGACACAGATCCAGATGCACAAGCTCTTCTCTGCCTTGTGATGCAGCCAGGAGAGCTCACCAGATGAAGACCCCGGACCCTGGACCTCTGAACCATGAGCTGAATAAACTCTATTCTTATAAATCACCCAGTTTCAGATGTTTTCTATGACTAGCAGCAGAACAGACTGAATCAGATAGGAGGACTAAGAGTGTCTAACATGTTACCTGTCAGACTCATGACTCTTAAAGTCCAGTCTCCAAGCAGTGCCACTCCTTGTACAACCCTCAGTCCTGACTCCTGATCATCCCACCTCCAGCCAAGTAGTTCTGAAAAGGGAGGGGGGAAAAGGCAGTTGGGATCACTGCTTTGTGGAAAGTTCCAACTGCAGGAAATGTCTCCTTCACTGTGAGCTGAGCTCTCCTGCCCATCTCTGGCCTGCTGTCATCTCGAATGTTGAAGAGAACTTGCAGATATCATTCTCCACACTTAACAATCTTCCTCCCACCTCCAGGTATCTGCTTGTGAGAAGGCCTCTGGAAGACACCGGAATGGCCTGAGTCCTCGTCTCTTTACCTGTAAACCTGGAGGAGCGAGGTAGGCATTCAGCTGTCCAGGAGTGGAAACATGGGCCATCCTTCTGAGTAGCACTCCCTGGATCAACTGCTGGAGCTTGGGTGTAAATCACCCCCACCCCTCAGTGGGCATCTTCAAGTTCTTCCAATAAAGGGGCAAATTCTCCACAGGTCAAGGATATTCCTCCTGGATCTGCCCCAGTATGAGACAGCCCTTAGGAATAGTGGGGCAACAGAGGGACCAAGGAAACCAGGGGAAATCAGGAAAGGGAGAGAAGCTGAGAAGAGGTGCTGCCTTGAGGGCAGCCTGACTGCTGGAGCAGGTGCTGGGCACTCGTCCAGGTAGGCAAGCAAAGAGCCAGTCAGAGCAATCTGATGCTCTCCGAGATGGCCCACAGAGGAGGGTACTGGGTTCATGTCCTGAGGCCTACCTATATACAAGGGGCCCATGACCCCAGGCTGACCAAGGCTGGGAGTGTAAAGACCCTTTTGGAAATCTCTCTCCTCTCACTTTCTCTCTCTCCATCTCTCAATAAAGAAAAAAGAAGAGGATTAAGAGGAGGCCGACCCCAGCGAAATGGCTGCTGTAGCTATACCTGCCATCCTGTGGTCACAATGCACGGGCAGACTTGGGGACATAGATGCTGGGCAGGAAGTCACCCAATATGAAAATCACTACCCCTAATCCCAGGCACAGCTGTAAAAGCAGGAAGTTGATGCAGGGAGGACCTACAGGATGTGTGTGGAATGGGAGAGGGTGGGAGCGTGGGAGCGTGGGGATAAGGGTAGAGTGTACCCATCAGGTGGCGCCTGGGCCTGCCTCTGACCCCACAAAACCTAGCTCGCTGATCTCAGGGCTGCCAGCCACGTGGGCACCGAGAGCCTGCAACACGGAGCCACCTACTTTCCCAGCCTGCCCAGTCCTAGCTTGGGGGCCCTATTCAATTCTGCTTGAGCTATCTAGGGAGAGAAGGAAGAACCAGGCTCCATAATGAGTAAGCCCAGTTGCCTGCCCCAGGCCTCCCCAGGTCTCCCCAGGTACTCAGCTCTGCTTTTGACCTGGAGTTTCCAAGATTCTGCACTGAGCTGTGAGCCTTTCTCTGGAGGAAGACACAGCTTTGGACTGGCCTAAAAGCCTGCAGTTTATCTGCCTCCAACCTGTCACCTGCCTGGCATGAGAAAGGCAAGCAGAGAAAACTGATGCTAGACAAGTGAGCAGACACCTTTCTAGCCCTGCAGGGTAACCAAGCAGAGCCCAGGGTTAGATGTGGCTGCTGAGCAACTTACATACCTGTGACTTCAAGCATACTCAGCCCAAGCAAAGGGCTACTGTACGTGATAGCAAAGCAGTTACCCCATGGGTTGGGTCTACACTATGTCTCCGGGTACTTACTGTTTGCCCTTGGCAATCCAATCAACTTCTCCAAGCCTCAGTATCCCATGTCTAAAATGGAGATCACCCTAGTACTTACCTCAGAGGCTTAAGTCAAGGATTAAATGGTAATCCACACAAAACATCAGGCGTGATAAATGTGCTCAGTAACTCTTATCTCTCTAGCATTTGTTACAGTGAATAGCTGGAGGTGGGCTTCACAGTCCTGATGGTGCAATTGAAGCTTGAGGAGCTGGGTCACAGCTGGAAGTCGCAGCTAGAGAGTGCAAGCCCAAAAGCAGCAATGAATTTATCCCCACTGCCAGAGGATGGGGGCGGGGGGGGGCGTGCTGGTGGTGCCACAGGTGCCCTTGTTAGCTACCACCCAAGCATAGCCAAGGACCATCCCAGGACACATAGCACTCCAGCCAGGACAGAGGAGCAGCATCTGCTGGCCCACCTCCCTGCTTGAACCTCCAAAACAGACACTCCAAAACAGACACAGGATCTCATCAGAGCACAGGAAGTGGGGCCCTGATCTTACTCCTGTCCCACCTTCCCAGACCCAGTTAGGGCCTCGGTTAAGCTGCCCTCCAGAACACAACTGAACTTCTCATGTGGCATCTGAGAGCCGAAGCCTCTCTAGGGGAAATCTTAGCCTCACCTTTCTGGTTGTCATAATTTCATCTCTTAAACACAAACAACAGTAGCAGCACCTGCCCAAGGCTAGCCACATGCCACTCTTTAAGTTTCTTCTTAAGGCCTTTGCCATAGGGCAGTGAACTTTCCAGAAAGGAGAAAGAAAAATAGAGACAATGAGAGAGAAAGTGAGAAATCACCTTCCAGGGGAGATGGCCATGCCACATCCCTTCTCCTCCATTATCCATCTGGGATTTTGGGCACACACACACATGCACCCTGCCTGATTTTTCAAGCCACCAGGTCTGGGACTCAAAGCATGATCAGCCATGTGGGAGTTCATCACCTTAACTACCATGCCACCTTATATGTCTTAACATTTGGGCACAGTGTTATTCTCATGTCCCAGATGGAGAAGCTAGGGCCCACTTTAACCAGAGGTTAAGTAACCTGCCCACAGACACCTCACTAGTAAGTGGCAGTGCCTGGATTCAAATTTGGTAGTCTGGCACCAAAGTTTAGTATTTTTTTTAATAACTTCCAATGTACAAAAAAGTTGTAAGGGAACCAGCAGTTAGCATAATGGCTATGTCGCTGAACTCCCACGTAGTCGACCGCGGTTCGTGTCCCGGACCCGGTGGCTTAAAACTCACGCCGGGCGCGTGTGCGTGCGTGCCCAAGATCCTGAGAGGAGAATGGAGGAGAAGGGATTGTGGCGTGACCATCCTCCCTGGGGGGTGATTTCTCGCTTTCTGTCTCTATGTCTCTATGTCTCTCTCTGTCTCTCTGGCGAGCGCATGCGCCCTATAGCGAAAAGCCTCTAAAAAAAAAAAAACAAGAACAAACTTCTGTATACCAGTTGTTCATATTTTGTATTATTTTTTATTTTATCATTCTTTCTCTATCTATCTAGCTAGCTATATCTATCATCTTTCCTCCTAATGAGTGCATGCACCCTATGCCAAAATCTTTCAAAACAAAGAAAAAGAGAAAACCTGAAGCAGGTCAGCTTGCGGTCTCACAGGACTGCAGCCAAAAATAAATAAATAAAAAGGGGCCAGCAGTTAGCATAATGGTTATGTCACTGGACTCCCATGTAGTCAACCGCAGTTCGAGTCCCGGACCCAGTGGCTTAAACTCACGCCAGGCACTTTACCTGCATGCCTGAGAGAAGAATGGAGGAGAAGGGATTGCTGTGTGGCCATCCCCCCCCCTCCCGGGGGTGATTTCTCGCTTTCTGTTTCTCTGTCTCGCTCTCTGTCTTCCTAGTAAGGGCACGTGCCCTGTAGCAAAACCTCTCCAAAAAAAAAAAAAAAGAGGAAAAGAAAATAATTCTAAAAACCCACACATTTTATAAGTTTAATTTCTGGACTAACACATAAATAAAATCACATGTGTTTTTGTGAAACAAATTTCAATACATAACCTTAAAAATAACAATAAAACTTTAAATCTCTAAGAAAAAAATAAGTAAATAAATAAATAGATATACTATATTACCAGCCCCTACTGAGGCCAGATAGATAAATAAAACAGTACACTAACAAAAGTAGTAGGAAAAACATTTGTTGAATTTTTGCTTCTGTTTAGCTATGGCTGCTCAAAAATCATTTGCATTGTAAATAGTCTTGTTTCCACAGGAAGTTTATGCTTCTTGCCACTGAGACGTCTCTGCTCACCTCTGCATACTGGGGCTAAGGTGAGTTCTTCAGCCTCTTTGTTTACTTGCCTAGTCCTGTTGAATAATTCACTGCTTGATGCAGGAGTTTCCAGGGCTGTAGAGCAGAGCTGAGTTCTGGGGAAGTTGCAAAGCCCAGGGGGGCCAACTTTTTGCCTTTAATTAAAGTTCCTGCCCAGTGCTGATCCCAGGCCCCAGCCAGGAGCAGCCCCTCCCCTACATTCTTTAGGAACTCAGACAGCTTTACACAGCACAGAGCTGACTCCCCTTTGCCTCCCATGCTCCTGCCTCCACCAGCCTCATGTAGTGTGAAATGCCTTATAAATTAGAACAATTTATGGGGAATCATGTTGACAGACAGCAAAGGCTGTCAAAAGCAAAAAAAAAAAAAGAAAGAAAGAAAGAAAAAAGAAAGAATCATGCAGGGTGCCCCAAGTCCCTAGCCTGGGTCTGTGGATATGCAAATTGAAGAGCATTAAGTGAAATTTGAGAATGTGCCTTTTACATCTCAGGTAAACCTGGAAGGAAGCACTGGACACCTCACTCTCACCCGGACAGGTCAGCCAGAAACTAGTCAAATGCATCTTTCCAACACTTTCAGCACCAGGGTTTAAAATCACACTTTCATTGAACAAACACTACCTGCTGGCTCCCAGCCAAGCTCTGAGCTTGGGATGCAAAGAAAAGTCGCACACAGCCCTCTTCTGGAGGAGCTCAGAGCCTGCTTGGGAAGAGCCAAGTAAAGAGACTGGCGCCAGGTGCTGGGTCGAGTGTAGTGACACAGAAGAATGGGAGAACGCATGGGAACACTGAGAGGCTCCTTCCCACTGAGCTGAACCAATGGGAGTAAGTAACTTGTTCTAGGCTGAAGGGTCAGCAATTGTAAAAGCCCAGGGTTGAGAAATGTCCTGACTGTGAGAAGCATAGGACACACATATTTCTGTGTTGCTGAAGCCCAGAGTTCCCGAAAGGGAGAGGAGGAAGCTGAGACTGAAGAGGGCAGGTAGGGGCCAGAGAGTGGACAACCTGAACTGTCAGGCTGAGGACTATAATGGGAAAAGGTCCAAAGCAGCAGTCAGAAAAGCCAACTTGGAGACCTAGAGCACTGGCTACTTGACTGAGCTGTTCTTGGAAAAGAGATGGGTAGCCCACTAATCTCTGTGTGAGCAGAGCCCCAGGCCTAGTGGACGGTCTGGCTTTAATCACCAAAACACAAAAACCTCCTCAGCCATTCAATTCCCAGACAAGTCAGGCTACAGACTCAGAACCCCTTGAATGAAGAGAAGGCTGGGTCCAGTTGAAGAAGGATCCTGCTACAGTGCCAAACGCTTTACACTGCAATCCTCTCCTAGCCTTTCCCAAAGGGACCTGTGGCCATTTACCAAGGGTGACTGTGCACTGGGGGAAAATCATAATTTTTTTTTTTTGAGAGGTTTTTGCTATAGGTTGCATGTGCTCGCCAGACAAACAAAGAAAGAGAGATAGAAAGCGAGAAATCACCACCACCACCCCCCCGGGAAATGGCCACACCTCAACCGCTTCTCCTCCATTTTCCTCTCAGGATCTTGGGCACGCACGCACACACACCGGGCGTAAATTTAAGCCACTGGGTCTGGGACTCAAACTGCAGTCGACTACATGGGAGTCCAGCAACATAGCCATTACGCTAACTGCTGGTCCCAAGGAAAATCATACTTTTGAGAGACTACTGGACACTGGCTCGGAGCTGACCAGACATGCCATTGTGGCTCTCATTCAGAGTGGGGTCATATGGAGGACAGGTAGCTAATGGAGTTTAAGCTCAGTTTCACCTCACAGTGAGTACTGAGGGTCCCCAAAACCATTCTGTAGTTGTTTCTCCAATTCTAAAAATGCATAATTGGAATACATACAACACATAGCAGAATCCCCATATTGGATCCCTAATCTGTGGGGTAAGGGATTTTTATGGTTGGAAGAGCTAAGTAGAAGCCACCAGAACTACCTTTACCTACAAAAATAGTGAATATATAAATAGAAAGACCACCAGAAGCAGTGTATTTTCAGTGGCAAGACCAATAATACACCTTCCCTGTCTTACTGAGAGGCATATCTCCAGCCTTAACTCATTATTTAGCCTGCAGGAACTCGAACTTCTGAGAACATCAAATTAGTTCATTACACTGATGACTGTCTTAGTCCATTATTATGTTGATACGTAGAAATACCTGAGACTGGATGATTTATAACAAATAGAGGTTTATTTGGTTCATGATTTCGGTGGCTAGAAAGTCCAAGAACTTGAAACCAACACCTGAGTGACCTCTGGTGCTATGTCACAATATGGCTGAGAGGGACAGGCAGGTCAGCAGCCATGTGTAGACAGAGAAGAAAAAGACTTTTCCACTTTCTCTATTCTTCCATCCTGTACTCACAGCCAAGTAAATGGGGTCTGTCCACATTGAAGGCACCTCTTCCTTGTAAAGTTCTCACTATCTCCCAATGTCTTTACATTAGGGACCAAATAACAACACGTGAACCCTTAGGGGACAAATCCTTTTATAAACCATAACAATGACATTACACTGATTAGACTTAATAAGCAAGAAGTAGAAACTTCTCTAGACACATTGGTAAAAGAAGTATGTGTTAGAGGGTGAGAAGTAAGTCCCATAAAAATTTGGAATTCTACTTCAATAAAGCTTGAAGGGATCCAGTGGTCTAAGGTATATCCCTTCTAATGTAAAGGATACATTGCTTTATCTAGTTCCTTCTACAACCAAACAAGAGGTTCAAACATGCAGTAGGCTGTGGAGGACTTGGCTTTGGGAGGCAGCATACTTCTCACTTAGATGTATTATTCCAATTTATTTACTGAGCATCCCAGAAAGCTAGTATTGAGTGGGGTCAGGACAAGGGACACTGTGCAGTAGGTCCATGTTGCTAGGAAAGCTTCTCTGCACTTAAACCATGGTTCATCTTGAAGTGGCAGTGGCAGCTTGGGAGCTTGTTTGCAGTCTCTGGAGGGCCCCATAGGGGAGTTACAGTGTAGGATCTGAGGATTTGAGAGCAAAGCCCTGCTATTGTCTACAGACAACTTCTCTCCTTTTAAGAAAGAGCTTTAGCCCTGCTTACTGGACCTTAGCGGGGACTGACTGCTTAACCACAGGCCTCCAAGTCACCATGCAATCCCAGCCTCCATTAGGACTGACCAGCAAGTTACAATGTTGGATGCACAGCAAGACTCCATTTAACAAATGGAAGTAATACATGTGAGATTTGGCACCTAACCTGCCTTGCCTCACCTCATCCCAGCCCTGATCAAACCCGAGGCTCAGGTTTGTCAGAGGTGAGGTTTTAAATCCTGATGTCAAATGCCAAAGGCCAGAGGTACCTTAATTCACCCTCACTTTAACAGCCTATACAAGAACCACTCTCTCCCTGACAGACCAGGCTCACAGAGATGGGTGAACTGAGCCCTTATTATGGAGACTGTTGGGGCAGAAGCCAAGGGCACAGCAGGCTAAGCTCACAGTCGGCAAGCTACCATTGCTCCAAGTCACACGCATGGATACTGTGGGGACTTGTGGGCCAGTTAATGACAGATTAATACAGTGAAATTGAAACGCTAGAGCTTCTGGGAGTTTGCCCTAGTCTACACGGCACTCCCTGCATAGTTGATTTAATGCTGTGGCTGGGAGGCCCTCGGAATGATATATTAATTTATTGGCATTTAGATTTATGGGCTTCAAGACATACTAAACGAATATAATTAAAATTAGCCAACCTGACCCTGCTGTCCTCAAGCCTGGAAGACAGTCGAGAGAATTTATATTTCTCTGCAAACTTGGGAGTGCTTTGGAGTCAACCCAGTTTGGAGGCGACGGTTTTGCTTCATTTAGACGGGGCAGAAGAAAAGAGCATAGATTAGCCACATTTTAAAGTCTTTATTCAAGTGTCTGAGGCACTTTCCTGGCTTCCTCCATAGATTTGATAATGTAGTGGTCTTTTAAAGATTGCCGGAGAGGCAGTAGCAAAAAAGAAAAAAGATTAATCAAAACATAGTTAGGGGGGCCAGCCCCATGACCTAGTAGCTAAGGGAACTGGATCCCACAAGACTGACAGTGGTTCAAATCCTGGCTCTGGTAGCTTGAAAAACATGTTGGGCTCATGTGAGTGCCCAAAATCCCAACAGGATGGAGAAATGAAGGGGAAGAGATTGTGACATAGCCATGCCCCAATAAGGGGTGCTTTCTAGTCCCTCCCTCTCTTTCTCTTTTTTTTCTCTCTCGATCTCTATCAGGAGAAAACTTGTGCCCTCTACTAATTAAAAAAAGAAAAAAGACAATTAGAGATTTCCATTTAAATCAACTGATAGCAACTGCATCATAGAGCTTCCCTGCCTCATACCTGAGAATATAAGCAGAAACTGCTGAAAGCTCAGTGCATGCAGATGGTAGATCAAGTTGAACAACTTAAAAATGCAAAATGTTTTCTTTTTTTATTAACATATAGTGGTTGTACATTTTTGTAATTTTTCAATACAAGAATACCATGTGACGATTAAATTAAGGTAGTTAGTAGACCCATCATCTCAACCATTTGTCATTACTTATGTTGGAATTCAAAAATCTTCTTTTTAAGTTACTTTGAGATATACACTAAGCTATATAGTTAACTATAGGGAGAATATAGTCGACCATGTGGGAGTTCAGTGCCTTAACCACCACCCTACCTGCTGGCCCCCAAAAGTGGCCATTGTAGCCAGCCCATGGTTTGAGTCTCAGACCCAGCAGCTTAAAACTCACTCCTGTGTGTGTGCTGTGTGCCCAAAATCCAGAGTGGAGAATGGAGAATGGATTGCAGTGTGGCCATCCTCCCTGGGGAGTGATTTCTCTCTGTCTCTCTGGTGAATGCCCATGCCCTATAGTAAAAATCTCCCCCCACCCTCTCTCTCTATCTCTCTCTCTCTCTCTCTCTCTCTTTATATATATATATATATGCACACACACACACACATATTTAATTTTTAAAGGTCAACCATACTTCAATAAAGATAGGAAAAAATTAAAATACAACTCACTTACTGGACCAGATGGTGTGCAATGGTAATACAATGCGCTGTGATCCTGACCTGTGTGGAGGGTCCCAGATCGCATTCCAAGACCTCCCCGTGCACATCAGGCACATGCATGTGTCCATGATCCTGGCTGGCTGAGGCTGGGGATGGTTCATGACATGAAGACCCTGTTGGGGGTGCTTCTTTTTCTCTCTCTCTTTCTCTCTGTCTCTCTCCCTCTTGTGGAAGAAACAAATTAACTGAGGAGAAAAAAACTAACTTATCGTTCTTAAAAAAAAAAAAAAAAGCTATTAAAAATATAAATAAAATTCTCCACCCCCTTTAATGCTCTACACACCCCAAACACAGAGCCACACTTGTAACCCACTGTACCTCAGAGAATATACCAGATGGTCTGCAAAGTCCTGAGAATTCTTACAAATGCCCTTAAACCAGAGGTAATTTAGCATGTTGAAAGAACAGAGCTCTGATCATTTCTAACTGAAAAGTAGACATGGTT